TGCCCCATCTTCCTTCCGAGGAGTGGCTGGTGGATTTGAACCGCCAGCCTTCTGGTTAGCAGTCAAGTGCCTTAGCCACTATGCTACCAGAGCTCCCAAGAGTTAAGTATACATAACCAAAATCAAACCAGACTCGCTGCCATTGAGTCGATTCTGTCTTATAGCCACCCCTCCTTGGGTTTCTAAGGCAGTATCTCTATGAAAGTAGATTGCCTAGTCTTCTTTCAGAGGAATGGCTACTGGGTCTGAACCTCCAGCCTTCTAGTTACCAGTCAAAAGCCTTAGACACTACACCACCAGAGTCACTTCAAAAGATAAAATTACAGGCAAAATGCATTTGCATGGTATAAGGATCCAAATGAGCCCTGGCATAACAATGATTATGTACTTGGCTGTTTACTGAAAAGTCAGTATTTTGAGCTAACCAGTGGCTCCAAAGGAGGAAAGACCTGGTAATCTGCTTCAGTAAAGATTATGGTCTAGGAAACCCAATGGGACAATTCAACTCCATCTTATAAAGTCCATTGAATTAGAACATACTCAATGGCAAAAGACAGCAAAGAGATGAAGATATAAAGCATGTAAGTGTGTAGAGTGAGATTTGATGCCAGGCTTTGCTTTGTTTGCTTAATTCCCACAGTCCTATGACGTTATTTCCATTTTACTTTACAGGACATTTTTGATCTGATTTCAGAAACTTGAAATCATGGACCAAGGAAATAATTCAAGAGTTACTGAATTTGTGTTGCACAGTCTTTCAGGTCCTCAAGAACTACAAAAATTCTATTTTGCATTTTTCACACTTTTCTATTCATCCACTGTGTTGGGAAACCTTCTCATTGTGCTCACAGTCCTTTCCGAATCTGCCCTCCACACTCCCATGTACTTCCTGCTCAGCAACCTCTCCTTCATTGATGTGTGTCTATCCAGTTTTGCCACTCCCAAAATGATAGCCGACTTCCTCACGGAGCATAAGATCATCTCCTTTGAGGGCTGCATGTGCCAGATATTCTTTCAGCATGCTTTTGGTGGTGCTGAAATGATGCTCCTAGTGGCCATGGCATATGATCGGTATGTAGCCATATGTCAACCTTTGCATTATGTAGCCATCATGAGTATACGTAAGTGCACAGGCCTTGTGGTGGGCTCATGGCTCATTGGGATTCTGCACTCAGTAAGCCAGTTGGTCTTCGTAGTAAGCCTGCCGTTCTGTGGTCCAAATAATGTAGATAACTTTTTCTGTGACCTTCCCTTGGTTATTAAACTGGCCTGCACTGATACCTATGTCCTTGAGATACTGATGCTTTCAGACAGTGATCTAATGGCTATGAGCTCCTTTGTGCTCTTGCTCATCTCTTACACAGTCATCGTGGTCACCGTGCAACGTCGATCTTCATTGGGCATGGCCAAAGCCCGGGCCACCCTCACTGCCCATGTCACTGTAGTGACCCTCTTCTATGGGCCCTGCATCTTCATCTATGCCTTTCCTTTCAACAACTTCTCGGTGGATAAGGTTCTCTCAATATTCTACACTGTTTTCACCCCTCTCTTAAACCCTTTGATCTACTCATTAAGAAATAAGGAGGTAATATTGGCTATGCAGAAACTGAGAAGGTGAAAAGTGCATTCCTAACCATTTCTTCTGATGATAATGACAACAATAATAAAGACACCATTGATATTCTTTGCTATTCAAACTATGTGTATTTGAACTAAGAAATTTAAAAAATTGAGATGAATTCTTGTATATAAGAATGGCATTTCTTGTAATGTGTATTCTCACTATGTTGTTGTTGTTGTTGTTAAGTGCCGTCGAGTCATTTCCGACTCATAGCTACCCCATGCACAGTAGAACGAAACACTGCCCGATTCCACGCCAGCCCCACAATCCCTGCTATACTTGAGCCCATCATCGCAGCCACCGTATCAATCATCTATAAGCTATCTAAAGTTAAGGTCTAAATAACAATTGCTTTAATGAATCCATTAGTTGAACTCAGAATCCATATAAATTCATTACTTAACCATGGAAATGTAGCATATTAGACATGCTACAAATAGCAAAACCTGGACCCACAATGAATCTTGTTTATCTCATGTATAAAATTGAAGTTCAGAGTTTCCACTCAAGGTTAGTGGTTAAATGATGACTACACACAGAAATACTTGTTTTTCTATATATAAATAAAACTTTTTTCAGTGATGCTACTAAATATCTGCCTCTGCTGTATGTGTTCTTTTACTGATCTCCAGGTCCTGCCATCTACTATATGTCATCTGTGATAGCCAACCTGCTTGGGTCATGATTCTCAGTGGTTTGGTAGTAATGATGTAGTCATACCCCCTGATGTGATCTGATGTAGGGTAATTACCTCCATGATGAGATTTACTGTTAGCAGCCAATCACTTGAAAGTAAATTTCCTTAGGTGTGTTGCCTGCTTCAGTTGGTTATCTTACCTGACTATCTTGGGTTCATTAGCCTTTGTAGCTACTCAAGACAGGGAAAGCCTCAAGTCTGACATCTGACCCATGACCCCTGACTTGCCAGGTTTTACAATTTCTCGAGGTCTTTCTTTGAGATAAATCTCTATCTATCTATCTATCTATCCATCTATCAAGTTTCCCTGGTTTTACTTCTCTAGATAATCCAGCCTAAGACATCACCCAACAGCATAAATGACAATACATATTTTTCAAAGCTCCCAAATTGTATAAAATCATTTTTTGACTTTTTATAAGAAATCTACATGTTCACTGTCCTTTTTTAATTACTATTATGTATGATAATCTGAGAACTTGGACTACTTGAAGAAGAACATGGGATCAGGATTGGCGGAAGACTTATTAACTATCTGTGATGTGTAGATGACACTACCTTGCTTACTGAAAGTGAAGATGACTTGAAGCACTTACTGATGAAGATCAAAGACTGCAGTCTTCAGTATGGATTACACTTCAATATAAAGAAAACAAAAATCCTCACAATTGCACCAATAAGCAACATCACAGTAAATGGAGAAGAGTGAAGTTGTCAAAGATTTCATTTTCCTTTTATTCACAATCAACACCCATAGAAACAGCAGTCAAGAAATCAGACATCATAGTGTACTGGGCAAGATTGCTGCAAAAGACCTCTTTAAAGTGTTAAAGAGCAAAGATGCCATTTTGAAGATTAAGGTGCACTTAACCCAAGCCATGATATTTTCAGTAGTCTGAAATGTATGTGAAATCTAGACAATGAGTAAGGAAACCTAGGAAAATTGATGCCTTTGATTTTGATATTAGGCAAGAATACTGAAAATACCATAGACTACCAGAAGACTACCACAGAATACCAGAAGTGGTGTGGTGCCTAAGGCATTTAACTGCTAACCAGAAGGCTGGTGGTTCAAACCCACCAGCCACTCCTTGGAAGGAAGGTTGGGCAATCTACTTCTGTAGTGATACTGCCTCAGAAACCCAAGGAGGGGTTGCTATGAGTCAGATGCAACTGGATGGCAGTGTGTTTCATTTGCATACCAAAAGAACAAACAAATCTGTTCTGGAAGAAGGGCAGGCAGAACGTTCTTAGAACAAGTATGGTCAGAGTTCATTTCACTTACTTTGGTCATATAGTCAGAAGGGGCCTGTCCTTGGAGAAGATTGTCATGTTTGATAAAGTAGAGGGTCAGTCAAATAAAGAAGACCCTCAATCCTCAATAAGTTGGATTGACAGAGTGGATGCAACAATGGGCTCAAACATACCAGGCATTGTGAGGACGACACAGGACCAGGCAGTGTTTTGTTCTATTCTATTCTATTCCAGAGCTCCCATCAAATTAATACTTCTATCAAATTCAATTTTCTTCCACTCAACTTGATAAATACAAAAATTCACAAATATTAAAGTAATACAACATATTAAAATAATATTTATAAAGTTTCAGAATAGCATTTAATTTATAATTGTTTCACTAGTAATCATTTTAACTAAGATCACAATTTAATTTCTGTAATCATCTTGAATTTTCAAATCATTTTCGTCTTCTGACTTCTAGTGTTTGAAAGAGAATTAAATATCCTAAACTGAATTATGCTTTGAAATGGTGTGGGAGAAATGGTAGTGTGGAATAAGATTTAATATCAATTATAATTTAAATAAAGTGTTACTCACTTTTCTGTTTTATAATTTCACCAATCTGCAAGGTCCTGTTGATTGTTTTCTGAAATATACAAGCAAAAAAAGAAAAAAGATATAGCACTTGAATGCTAACCAGAAGGCTGGTGCTTCAAACCCACCAACCACTCCTCGGAAGGAAGATGGGACAATCTGTAGTGATACTGCCTTGGAAACCCAAGGAGGGGTTGCTATGGGTTGGGTCCAACTCGATGGCACATAACAACAACAACAACATTGTTCTGGTTACCTAGTGCTGCTCTGACAAGAAATATACCACAAATGGGATGGCCTTAACAAACAGGAGTTTATTCTTACGATTTGGAAGCTATAAGTCCAAGTTCAAAATGCCAGGCTTTTGGGAAGGGAGTGAAAGTCCCTCAACCTTGGGGTCCAGCTCTGCCTCCTGCTCCCGTCCCACTGGAGCTAGAGGCATTTCTTCACTCAGACAGCTGCTGGCTGCTGAGGCTGAGAAGTCCCAAGGTTAACAAGTAAAAAGGCACAGTCCCAATGTTACCAAACCACACAGCAGGGCATTAACTTAAGTCTATTTTATGTCCCAAGGCCGGGAGAGCATAGCAAGCTGCTGAGCAATGACATGGCTACATGTGGGGTCCAAGCATGCCATAAGCTAGAGACCATTCCCAAGGCTTCTCTTTATATACAGGAAGCAGACCATATACCAAAGACAGCTACTCAGCTTGCTTGTGGTGCCAGTCTCATCATGGGGTATAACTACCACCAGCTGCACAGCCACTCAACCAGGTCCAGCCAAGTTGACACACAAACCTAACTACCACAAATATAGTACTGTATCATGTGATGATTAAGATAATGATGGTAATGAAATCAGACTTATAATTAATGATCACTATATAGTTTACAAGGCGCTCTGGTAGCATAGTGCCTAAGGCACTTGACTTCTAACCAGAAGGCTGGCAGTTCAAACCCACCAACCATTCCTTGGAAGGAAGGTTGGGCAATCTACTTCCATAGTGATACTGCCTCAGCAGCCCAAGGAGGGGTCACTATGAGTTAGGTCTGACTCGATGGCAAATAACAACAAAACAACATATAGTTTACAAATTATATTTTTATATATTATCTCAACTGAGCCTCACAATATACCTATGAGTTAGAAGAAGATCATGTTTCTACTGAAAATTTGAAATTTCAATAATCGTAGATACTTATAGTCAAAATAACTATGGATTGTAGCATTCTTTAAAACAAACAATTGTTCTTATGTCATCTGAATGAGTAGAAGATTTGGGAGAAGAATGATGGGAAGTGATTTCAGGTAATCAAATGATGGACACATTAGAAGGAAATTTTGCCCCTGAGAATGTGTGAAGTAGAATTAGATCCCTCGGACTTGAGACCTTATAGCCTATTCCATCAGTGAAGGTGTGGTTTAAAAGAGTATCTTTAGCAGCACAAGGAAAAGACCAAAAATGTATTGTAGTTGGCTTGGTCTATGGATAGAAAAATTGTTTACTTTTAGAAATTATATCATGGAATTATCCATGTATGAATTTAGAGTTTGAATTTATATTCTCTGTGTAGTCAAAAGAGCTTTAATTTGAAAAATCCAATATAGTATGTAGATCACTCCTAAGGAATGTGAAATTCTTGGGACAATTGGAAAAATGAAGATAAAAGCCATACCATTAACACTAGCCACATGGGAATTTGACACACAAAGTCCTGGTAAATTCGAGTGCATAATCAAACTGAAAAAAATACAATGAACAAGAGTTAGCAGACAAAAGAAAGACAAAGTTCTTTCTTCTTCCCTGCTAGAAAACAAACAATTGATCTGCCGTCAAGTCAATTTAGATTCATAGCAACTCCTCCTTGGGTTTCCAAGGGGGTATCACTATAGAAGTAGATTGTCCAACCTTACTTCTGAGGAGTGGCTGGTGGGTTTGAACCACCAGCCTTCTGGTTAGCAGTCAAATGTCTTTGGCATTACACCACCAGAGCTCCCTTCCCACTAGAATATGTAATAAATATATTGTACAAAGATTAGAAGTATGTCTAAAATGGTTAAATATTGAAAATAAAAAAGAGATAGTATTACTAAGAAAAAAGAAGAGCAAGTGAGTTATGCTCTTGAGAAGATGGTGTTTTTCTTCTTCTTTATTCCTTCTGCTAATTACCACAGAATAC